GTCTGATGCTTTCAGTTACGCGACTTTTGACTTGTGGCAGGGAGGGAAGGGGGGCGCAGGCACATACCCTCCTGCAGCCTAAAGCAGCATTTCCCAAGATGAAGACACAACCCTCAAATTTAGTTGAACCCTGATAGTCCTACCAGAGTCACAATGAGACCTCCACCTTCCACCTCTGCTTCCCAACCTCAAACCGGCTCAATGCCGACCTGCAGGGCACGCACGACCCCACTGACTGCAGTTGTACAGTGTGTGTGTGAGCAGTGATCTCAAGTGATGCCACGGGGGGGGTGGGCATCAGGGTTTGGAAGAGGCGAGTGCTCCATGCTGTTAGTGTGCTGTGCCTGGAGGTTAGATTTAGTCCTGCAGGACATGCAGCAGTGGAGATGGATTATTTGTGTGCCCTGACACCTCTCCCCACACAAGCACAGCAGTATGCAACCCCAAGGGGCGGCCCCTGCCTTACTGTCCTACAAAATACCTTACGCTGCAAAAAGCCCCATGTGGGTCAACATGGGGCAGACACGGGAAGCAGCACAGGCATCACGAGGGTTTCCAGGACCACGGTGGAGGCATGGATGAAATTCAAGGTCTCCTGAAGACATCAGCCAGAGAAAAATATGAATGAGCCAGCTCTAGACTTGTCGCTGGGCAGATGTATGTGACAGTGCCCACAAAGCCCAAGACACATTTCCTGTGATCTTTGGCTACACACATTAAGTTTCAAGTACTAACAGGTACTACAGCTTACAGAAAAGTCACGGGAGTTGTATCAGAGAAAAAGGGTTTCCAGAATTTTTTTAGTTTAATGAGAAGAAAGCACTCGTGATGAAAGCCACTCTACCCACTTACAAACAGTAGAGACAGCAGGAAGAACAGGATCAGGCCAGCCTCTAGTGATATCCAGGACCAGCTGCTCCTGATGAAGATGCAAGAAATCATTCTGGACAGTTTGGGAATCACTTGCTTATCGGTAAATCTCTTCCTAAGCCCTTCAGATAGTGATTAAGCACAATGGTTCATACCCCATATATTAAATATTAATCCTTCCTAACGTGACTGCCAATGTTCCGGTTATCTGATTCAGATAACCACACACCCCCAACAGCCCAATCCTTTTCCACCCCAAACCACGTAAACACAGTATACAAAACCTGGCAATATTTTGCAATCCAGCTAGAGAAGAGCTGATGATATTCTCCTTGGCCTCTGAGCCTGGAAGCAAAACAGCTGTACCTCACAAAAAGCAGGAGGTAAAGAGTTAAGAGCAGGGAGACGAATCAGCCCACTGCTATAAATGCGGACATTTCCTACCTCTTCGCCTTAGTGTTTCTTCCTGTCCGCAGGCTTCGGAGATGCTTATGGACCTAGTCACATTCAAATCATTTCCACCGTGACAGGAAAGCCCAGGGATTTCTTTTATTTCAAGAGGAAAATGCGATTTGTGAATGAGACGAGAAAGCGGCTGTGAGGGCTGACCTCCTTCCCAAATAACACTACGAATAAAGTACCAGCCAGCTTGTGCATCTGCTGTACTGCTCCTGACCCTATGGAAGCATACGGGCACTCTGTTCTACCCAAAATAACCTGCCCCACTGTGTTTCAAGGCACCGCGCAGACCATGACCATGCAGCCGTGGCTCAATACTGCCTTACCCAAAGCAGTCATGGCAAACCCACGGGTTGAGCACAGCAGAGGTCACACAACCTGCACCCCTCGCTGCTGGATTGGGATCTGCCGTCCTGTTGCAAACACAGAGGATTTGAGGAGAACAGATGTAGGTCATCAGCAGGAGGAGACGGGGAGAGAGGGAATTCAAACTACTCTTCCATAAGGATGTTGATGTTGGAGTTGGACCAATATCACGGATCCGCACAAAGCATCAGTTATTTGAGAGTGACATTTCAGAAAAGCAGAGCTATGTATCCTATTAGCTTGAAAACAATAAAGCCGCACCAATGCCAGGATAGCAATGCCCCTGGAAACGGGAAACATCTATTTTCAGCACCTCCCAGTATCCCCCCACTGCTTTAACAAACTGTTTTTATAAAGATCACGCAAATGCCCTGGAGTTTCCCACAGACACCCCCCAAAAAGGCTTTCCAAAAGGGACGGAGAGGAACACGTGGAGGGGGAATGTGGCAGGGCCCACTTTCTGCCCAGCACAGACACCAAGTCTCTCTCACACAGCACCCCTAGGTCCCAGCAAAACTGTGATCCATGCCCCCCCAAAACATCCTGGCTCTTCACCTTGGCCACAGCAGAAGTCATTGGGGGAGCTGGCAGCACAGTGACCATCCCTAGGGTCTTGTTCCTCGTCATCGAGCTAGTTTCCCAACCTCACCGTGGGAATAACGGCATGAGTTTGCATCTGAGTCTTGACAGAGAGAGACATAAATCCTCCTTGCAAACCTGGCAGCTCCCTGCATCAGCTGCAGCCACCCCATGCGCCTCCTTCCCTGCCATCGGCTGCTGCAGCAACAGGAATCAAAATAAAGGATGAAAAACTCCTGCTGGGGCTGCAGATTTATTTGCCTGCACCCTTTTTGTTTCTAGAAGTCCTTGTACAGGAAAGGAAAAATCCCTTAATATTTTCAAAGCATCCTACATGCTCGCAGCAAGCTCCCCCAGCCACGGACAGGCAGAGAAGGGATGACTAATTTTTTTAGCGTAATATGCTGCAGAGAGCATCCTGTGAACAAGCAAGTAAATTCCTGAGGCTCTCGGCAAGGACCCTGCCGCTCCTTGCGAAACTTCCCAGCTGGAACCTCACAGTCGAAAAGCCAGAAAACATCGTTTTTCCCTCCTCCAGCAAACAGCGGCTGGGATTCCTTTCACGACAGTATTTGGATTTTAATGTCAGTCCATATTTAGCAAGAGGAAAAAAAGCCTCCCTTCCTTCCTGTCACATTTTCCACCCTTGATGACATCCAAGATCAGAAATAAGCAAGTGCTGGCCGAAGAGGGAAGACATATCTACCCGAGCGTGGGAGAGCCCAGAGCGTGGCAGCCCGTACGTTCCCATTTGGGATGTGCTGAGATACCGTCGAGGAGGGGACATGGCCCTCGGGACCTAGTGTCGAGGAGGGGTGTCCCCTCACACGTTCTGGCTTGAAGCATCTCCCCGAAGGACGGCACAGGCCAGGAACCAGGCCATCAGCCTACAGGGCTGGCGTACCCCTCCTGAAAAGAAGCCTTACATCCCTGGCACAGGCCAAGAGCCGCCGAAAAGGCCATGGGTCAGGCTGAGCACTGCTAGTGGGTTGCTCACTCACGGGGACCCGGTGCCAGGCCCCCGGCATCCTGCATGCCAGTGTCCACGGAACCCGGCCATCCTGCGGCAGGGAGAGGCGCGCCGTGGTGGGGAGGAGGCGGCTGGCGACCGTGGGGTCAGACTGCGGCCCGGTGGTGTGCCCTGTCCGCCGGGTGTCGGAGGGTGGTCCCCAGCTCGGACCCCCTTGGCCGCCCTCACGAGTGCGGGGCGGGAGGGGACCGTGGGCCGCTGCAGACCCACGTGTGGAAGTTCGCACGTCCCAATCCGCGATTCACTTTTTCTTATCAATATTAAAAAATAAAAAACACGGGAGGTGGGGGAGGGTAGGGGGGGAGGCGAGGTAGGACC